AAAAAAAAAAAAAAAAAAAAAAAAAAAAAAAAAAAACTTGCCCATTTCAAACTAAAAAGGTGACTCAGGGGCGAGGTCCCACTAGCAACGGGATAGGATAGAAACAAGTTTGTGAAGTAGTTGAGTAACCCATATCCTGCCGTGCAGGACTCGTGATCCCACGGTCAGTATTTTACATGTATTACCTGAGAAAGTAAGGAGATCTTTGTTCCCCTCCTCCTCTCCTTAACACTGGGCATGCCCGTGCAAAGAAAGCTTCCCGCCAGATTCCTTTCAATCGGTTGGGGGTGTGGCCAACCCCAAAAGAGGTTGGGGTTGGCCTGAGGCCCACTGGATAGAAGATTTTCAGTATTTTACTTGCTGTTGTGCAATTATCTCATTGGGCGGAGCCCTCCTTCAATCACGGAGTATATGGAGGGTGTCAGGATCACTGCTGACAGAAGTCAAGGGTTTTTTTTTTTTTTCTTCTTTTTTTCTTTTTCTTTTTTTTAAGCCCAACCAATTTAAGTACCTGTCGAATCTGGACAGGACTCAAGTTTATTCCAGAAAATGTGGAGGTTACTTTGTTCACTGTTGTTGCAACCACCACCATCAGATCACAAAGGCTGGGAAACACTCTGCCGTGATTTCCGATCAGATCACAAAGGCTGGGAAGCACTCTGCCGGGATTTCCGGTGGGAGGTCTCGGTTTCTTTTTCTTTTTTTTTGCCTTTCTCCTGTTTTCTCAGCCCAGAAATTCATAATGAACCTGTCAGCCCGCTGCCACTCAGTGTCACACTGGATCGGCCACACTCCTATCCGACTGCTAATGGGACCACACCCCTGGGGCCTCGACCCACTAGCATCGTTTAAAATGGTGTGTGGCGTTCTTTTCTCATTTAAAAACACATAAACAATGCTATTTTTCATTATGGCAGTAGCAAAGAAAAGCACCCAAAAAACGAAAAATCAGGGGACCTGGCATCGACATCATGACAGTACACGCGATGCATCCACACTTCCACCAACCCTCTACATCTGCATGTGATCTTCCCGCCGGCTTGTTTGCAGTCTTCCACGGAAACCTTCCCGCTGGCCTGTTCGCAGTCTTCCACGGAAATCTCAATCTTCTCCATTTCTGCCAAAAAAAAAAAAAGCAAGGCGTGAAGCTTCAAAAACACACCCCCCCCCCAAAAAAAAATCCATAATATTGAAGCTTCACGCCAACGCAAAGTGGCCAACTAAATGGCCAACAAATGAATTAAAAAAAAATCTACTGGCCGATGGGCAGCTGCCTCCACGAAAACAAGGACAATAGACACTACCGGTAGCAGTCAATACGCTACTGGATCAACGACTGATGACTGACGGATGTCACGGACGGCCGCACGTGGTCGACGAAAAGGGAGGAGCACAAGCGTAAAGCGATGCTAGTGGGTAGAGGCCCCAGGAGTCAGGAGCGATTTCCCCTTGATTTTTTTGAACGAAATTGAAAATTTTAATCCAAACTGTGGCCAAAATTTGATGAAATTTTGGGTACAGCATTCTGGAAAAAAAAATGTCCTAGCCCATGTATCTGGTCTCAGCCTAAGTCGTCATACATCGTTCCGTACCCCCTGGATGTCTATGGTCTTTGGCTGAGTCCAGATACATCGAGAGGGTAGGGCGTTTTCAGGACTCCCTACCCAAAATTTCATCAAATTTTGGCAGCAGTTTGGATTAAATTTTTCAATTTCATTCAAGAAATATAACTGTTGAAATACACACCTGGAGGGACATCCCACTATCAAGGTATGTGGTGTATTGTGACGGGTGCGCGACGTGCGGGCGACATCGTGTGGCATCCTTTCCGTGAACATAAAACTTTTAAAAAATTGTGGTAACCAAGGGCGTCCGAGTGAAGGGCGCCCCAGCCGACCAATAAGCACCACTGCTTCGACTGCAGACAGCATTCGCACACAGTCTGACACGAACTGACATCCCGTCACAATGGCAAAGGCCGAAACTTTTAGATGTTGGCCTTTCTTTCCTGCGAGGGTGCCCTCCAAAAGGTAAGTGGAAGGTACGTGAAAATCAGAACGAAAAAAAACGTCATGATTTTCACTCACATCGGGGACCCCTCTAGGACCTTCAAAACAAAAAAAGAAGCAAGACCGACCAATAGGGCGCCACGGAAATACATATATACCCATTCCCTTAAATACGAAAAAAAACACACCGCTGATTGCCGTCTCGATCCGCGGTGCATTGGAGTCGCACACCGTGTCCACTACTCCACTCACTTGCGTAGTGGGATCTCCCTCCTGAGGTCGAATCCAGATGGAACCAGATGAATAAAATCAACTAATCCTGAATAACCTGGGGTTGCTCAGTTTTATTAAAAAAAAATATAATATGTCCGTTTTGACGAAATCTCCCTCCCTTGCTTGATCTTTATGTCATCATGAACAAGCTCAGCCTGTTGCACCAAGGGTAAACAATTACTGTGCTCACCCGAATACAACGTACAGTCATTATTGCTGTTACTGTAACAGTATCTATAGTCAAAGTTGGACCACATACAGGTCATTATTGCTGTTACTGTAACAGTATCTATAGTCAAAGTTGGACCACATACAGCTAGTATAATCGCGACGGTACCTTGTCCTTGGCTGAGCACAGTAATACTGTCCATTGATAACTGGTAATACACACAGGGGTGGGACCGTAAATGGCCAACCGCGGCATACCCCCCCGATGGCCAACCGTAAATGGCCAACCGCGGCATACCCCCCCACAGGGGCGGGACCGTAAACAAAGAAGATAGCAACGGCCCTTTCTCACAGCCTTCTGCCCTCCCTCTAATATATTTAAGGGGGGTAGTGTGGAACCCAGTGAAAAATATAAAGAAGAAAAAACAGATGAAGGAAACACACAAGACGATGAAATCTGGTCATGGTACCATCCAGGTGCATGCATTGAAAAAAAAAAAAAAAAAAAAAAAA